GCCATAGCAGAGAGCTAGATTAGAAATAGAGCAGCTGGGGCCGGCACCATGGCTCAATAGGCTAATCTTCCACCTTGTGGCGCCGGCACACTGGGTTCTAGTCCCAGTTGGGGCGCCGGATTCTGTCCCGGTTGCTCCTCTTCCAGTCCAGCTCTCTGCTGTGGCCCGGGAGTGCAGTGGAGGATGGCCCAAGTGCTTGGGCCCTGCACCTGCATGGGAGACCAGGGGAAGCACCTGGATCCTGCCTTCGGATCAGCATGGTGCGATGGCCGCGGCGGCCATTGGAGGGTGAACCAACGGGAAAAGGAAGACCATTCTCTCTGTCTCTCTCTCACTGTCCACTCTGCCTGTCAAAAAAAAAAAAAAAAAAAAAAAAAAGACAAATAGAGCAGCTGGGATTGGAACCAGTCCCCATATGGGACAGCACTACAGGCAGCGGCTTTACCTGCTACACCACAGTGCTGGCCCGTGCAATACTCTTTAAATGAGCAATTCAGCTTCCACAAATTAAACTATATATCTTTGAAAATATAATAAAATATATATATTTGAAGTAATATAATTGCTAAATTATCTTTTGCAATTTCTGAAATAGCAATAGATTTAGAAGCAATGTAAATTTCTCTTGACAGGAGTTGAAAAATCATGGCACCCCAAATAATGGAAAACTTTGATTGTATTTTTAAAAGCCATTCATTATTGCCATTCATTCATATGGAAGATCTTCAAGATACTATGTTAAATGAGAAAAGCAGGTGCAGAATATAGTATATAGCATGGCATTATTTACACTAGAAAAATATATTTTTCCCTTATAGATACACAAAACATCGCTGCAAGTGTACATAATAAATTGTTAACACTGGTTATCTCTGAAATGGGACATGGAAGACTGGGGGTGAGGAGAAAATTGTGACTGTACACCATTCTGTACCTTTTAAAAATTGAAATTTTAGGGGCCGGTGCCGTGGCTCACTTGGCTAATCCTCCGCCTGCGGCGCCAGAATCCCATATGGGCACCGGGTTCTAGTCCCGGCTGCTCCTCTTCCAGTCCAGCTCTTTGCTGTGGCCCGGGAATGCAGTGGAGGATGGCCCAGGTGCTTGGGCCCTGCACCCCATGGGAGACCAGGAGGAAGCACCTGGCTCCTGGCTTCGGATCGGTGTAGCTCCAGCCGTAGCGGCCATTTGGGGGGTGAACCAACGGAAAGAAGACCTTTCTCTCTGTCTCTCCCTCTCACTCTCTGAAACTCTACCTGTCAAATAAATAAATAATCTTTTAAAAAATTGAAATTTTAAAAATTGAAACAGGGAGTGGGTAGCCTGTTCAAAATGTTACATTAAAAAGAAAAGGATGGCCGGCGCCGTGGCTCACTAGGCTAATCCTCCGCCTAGCGGCGCCGGCACACTGGGTTCTAGTCCCGGTCGGGGCGCCGGATTCTGTCCCGGTTGCCCCTCTTCCAGGCCAGCCCTCTGCTGTGGCCCGGGAGTGCAGTGGAGGATGGGCCAGGTGCTTGGGCCCTGCACCCCATGGGAGACCAGGAAAAGCACCTGGCTCCTGGCTCCTGCCATCGGATCAGCGCGGTGCGCCGGCCGCGGTGGCCATTGGAAGGTGAACCAATGGCAAAGGAAGACCTTTCTCTCTGTCTCTCTCTCTCACTGTCCACTCTGCCTGTCAAAAAAAAAAAAAAAAAAAAAAAAAGATGATGTTCAGGAGGGTATAATACAGATATTGCAAAATTGAATGAGCTGAATAGCAGTTAGCTCTGGGAAGAAGGAATGGGAAACATGGCAGTGGTCTGGGATTTTTTGCATTTTTAACCTTAGGTAATGCTTGAAAAGAAATTTTTTTTTTTACCATGTACATGTATTACTTTTATGATAATGGGATTAAAAGATTGAGTGAAAACACACATGCAGAACCTAACACACACCCACGTGCACTTTATAGAGTAATACTAGAAGGGTTCCGGCCAATAAAAGCTTTGCCGACCGACTGGGCCCCTAAGCTGGCAGCTTAGGTGAGGTGGGGAAAAAGGAATGTGCAAGGATATGAGATTCGCAGTGATAACGTGGGCAACAGAACCAGAAAGCCCAGCGTCCATGCGCTGCAGCTCCCTGAACCTCCATGTCAGGGCCCTCTGCCCCTGGCACTGGAGGTACTCTACTGTCCAAGGGCTAAGCTGCCCTTTCTCCTGAATAACATTCATATCAGCCCTGGGTGAGTTTCCTTTTCTTTTAGCTGCTCCACTCTTTTTTTTTTTTTTTTTCTTTTTTGACAGGCAGAGTGGGCAGTGTGAGAGAGAGACAGAGAGAAAGGTCTTCCTTTGCTGTTGGTTCACCCTCCAATGGCTGCTGATCCGAAGGCAGGAACCAGGTGCTTCTCCTGGTCTCCCATGGGGTACAGGGCCCAAGCACTTGGGCCATCCTCCACTGCACTCCCGGGCCACAGCAGAGAGCTGGACTGGAAGAGGGGCAACCGGGACAGAATCCGGCGCCCCGACCGGGACTAGAACCCTGGGGTGCCGGCACCGCAAGGCGGAGGATTAGCCTATTGAGCCATGGTGCCGGCCTAGCTGCTCCACTTTATCTGCTCCCACAGATGCTGTTTTTTCTTTTCTTTTATTTTTTCCTAAGGTTCCTGGAGAAAGCCAGATAATTGTCACGCCTGTGCTTTTCTAGTGACTGCATATTGATGCTGTCTTTAATCATGTATTTGTCTTGCAGCTTAATTTTAAGAGATGGAGAGAGGCCAACATTGTGGCTTAACAGGTTAAGCTGCTACCTGCATCTGATATGGGCTCTGGTTCGAGTCCCAGCTGCTCCACTTCTGATCTAGCTCCCTGCTGATGTACCTGGCAGCAGAAGATGGCCCAAGTCCTTGGGCCCCTACACTGCATGGGAGACCCGGGTGAAGCTTCTGGCTCTTGGCTTCAGCCTGGCCCAGCACTGGCAGTTGCAGCCATTTGGGTAGTGAATCAATGAATGGAAAAGTCTCTCTCTCTTTTTTATTTATTTATTTTTATTTTTGACAGGCAGAGTGGACAGTGAGAGAGAGACAGAGAGAATGGTCTTCCTTTGCCGTTGGTTCACCCTCCAATGGCTGCCGCGGCTGGCGCGCTGTGGCTGGCACACCACGCTGATCTGAAGGCAGGAACCGGGACTAGAACCCAGTGTGCCGGCACTGCAAGGCGGAGGATTAGCCTATTGAGCCACGGCGCCGGCCAAAAGTCTCTTCATATTCTCTCTCTCTCTGCCTTTCAAAAAAAAAAAAAAAAAAAAAAAAAGATGGGAAGAAGTTAATTTGAGTTCCTAGAGGGGAATCAGAGCAGTCCTCATGTCCTGACAGCAATTGTAACATGCTTTTACTTGACCTACACTTTGCCTTGAGTTTCCTTCCATCAAGTCAAGGTAGAAAACACACACACACACACACACACACCCCAGTTAACCAGTATAGCATCTTCTGTTATGGTGCAAAGATCAGTGTTTCCCTTGTCAGGCTTTGTTTCTCCTGCCCCATATGCAGAGAATCCAAGAGGCTTCCTTCAGTGAATGAAGGGGCACTCCTACTTCCAAGAGTCAGGAACCGAGACAGTTAACAAGTTCCTGGTAACAAGGAGAGGCTGGAATTGTGTCTCCATGTCACATGCTACAGTAGTCCCCTTTTACCTGTGGAGGATTCATTCCAAGACCTCCAGTGTATGCCTGAAACTGTAGATAGTACCGAGCTCTATAAATATGTTTTCTCCATACATATAAGCTCAGCTTATAAATTAGAAACAATAAGAGATGAACAACTACAAATAAAATAGAACTATTATAGCAATATATAATATAATGATTTTTGTAGCTAGAAGGTTCATTCTTACTGTAGATCATAGCAACCTCAGGAGGACGTTCACCTTTTCACTTAAAGTAAGCACTTTATAGCTTCTCTTTGGCATGTGTGAGTTACCACCATGATTAATCTGTGTGCTTTGAGATTATTAAGACAAGCGTTACCTGAGCACCAACACTTCAATAACAACACACTTAATTGGATAAGCAAAATGGCTACTAAGTGACTTGGCTCCAGGATCCCCATAGATATCAAAATCCTCATATGCTCAAGTCCCTTATGGAACATGGGTTGGATTGGGCTGGTGCTGTGGTGTAGTAGGTTAAACCTCTGGCTGCAGTGCCCACATCTCATATGGGTGTTAGTTTGAGTCCTGGCTGTTCTACTTCACATCCATCTCTCTGCTAATGCACCTGGGAAAACAGCGGAAGATGACACAAGTGCTTGGGCCTCTGCACCCACGTGGGAACCCAGAAGAAGCTCCTGGCTCCTGCCTGCAGCCTGGCCCAGCTCTGGGCATTGTGGCATTTGGGGAGGGAATCAATGGATGGAAGACCTCTCTCTGTCTCACCCTCTCTCTCTCTCTCTCTAACTCTACCTCAGCAATAAATAAATCAATCTTTAAGAAAATGGTGTAGTATTTGCATATAACTTGTGCACATCTTCTCACATACTGTATCTATCTTTAGATTATGTATAATACAATGCAAATACAATGTAAATAGTTGTTACACTATTGTTTAGGGAAAAAAATCCATACATGTTCAGTGCAGACACAATCATTTTTCCAAATGTTGATCCACATTGGTTGAATCTATGGATGTAAAGCCCATGGATAAAAAAGTCCATTGTATTGTGTAGATACATGTCTCCTCTGAAGTAACTGCTTGCTGGCCCAATTTCCCTACAAAAATCCGATTGATGCCTCACCATTTAGAGTCCAAAGTTACAGTTCTCTGTCCACATTCATCATGCTAGGTTACTGTTGCCTAGAATTAGATGTGAGGGCTTTAATTCTCCATCACTTGCTGTGTTAGAACCAATGCTCTTCAGCCAAAGCCACACTGCGCCTTGGTCAGCAACCCAGATGGACTTTACTGCCAATTGGACTGTAGCCCACTCTATACGTTTCCCTAACTTCGGACTCTGAACAGAACACACTATGATTTCCTTCTCTTTTCTCTTTAAAGGTCCCTGGACTGATGATCTCTGTGATCATAACATATTATGCAACAGCTTCCAGGGACTGCCATAGCAAATTACACACTGGGAGGTTCGAAGCAACAGAAATTTGTTCTCTCATGTTTCTGGATACTAGAGATCCAAACTTAAGGTGTTAGCTGTATGGTCACCAAAGGCTGTTTCTGGTGGTTCTGGGCACAGGTTCCATCACTTGGGGCTGCATCAGTCCAATCTCTGCCTCCATATTCACATGGCCGTTCCCCCTGTCTCCCTGTATCTTCTCCTCTTTTATGCTTTTAAAAGATTTGTTCACTTATATATTTGAATGGAAGAGTGAGAAAGAGAAAGAAAGCGCTCTCTCCCCAAATGGCTGCACCAGCCAGGGCTGGGTGAGGTCAAAGCAAATCCAGAACGCCATACCGGTTTGCAACATGAGTGCCAGGGGACCAAGTATTGGGACCTTCATCTGCTACCTTCTTGGGCGCATTAGCAGAAATGCTGGATGAGAAGTAGAGCGTTGAGACTCAAACGGGAGTTCTGATATGGGATGCCAGCGTCTAAAGTGGCAGCTTAACCTGCTGATCGGCAACTCCAGCCCCTCTTTTCCCTCCCCTCCCCTCCCCTCCCTTCCCCTCCCCTTCCTTAACAAGGATACTTTCATTGGATTTAGGGATCACCTAGACAACCTAGGATGAGTATATTTTTATTCATTTGAGAAGCAGAGAGAGAGGAAGGAATTAGCAGGAAGAGGAGAGTGCTCCCCCATCTGCTGGCTTGCTCCCCAAATGCCTAAAGTGGCAGGGTTTGGCTGGGGCTGAGGATGGGAGTCAGGAATATTATCTAGGTCTCCCACATGGGTGGCAGCTATCACCACTGCTTCCCAGGGCCTACATTAGCGGGAAGCTGGAGTCAGGAGCTGAAGTTGGAGCTAGGGCCAAGTATCAAACCCAGGCACTTTGCTGTGTGATACAGGTATCTTAACCACTGGGCCAAATACCTACCCCAAGGCTCAATTACCTTAAGGTTCGTAATTATATCTGCAAAGATTGTTTTCCAAATAAGTTGACATTCTTAGGTTCTGGAGTCCAGATTCAACTCAATACATGGTATTTTATAGAGGACGATATTTGAGCAGAGAGAAATTATGGGATTCATCCGAGACAAATTTCATTCTCTTCTACTATAGAGCTCTACTCACTTGAGAATAGTGGAATTTGCAAAACTTCTCATGCTAGAAAGGTTTTGGTAGACTCTTGTCATAGGGCACTGCTGATTTTATTTTTTTATCAGGTAAAGGAACCATTCACGTCTTACCCTGGGTAAGCTAGTTTAAATGGGCCTTACCAAACATGATATATTGTTACATTGCATCATAAAATTATGACCCACTGTCCCATCCTAAGGACATTAGATACCAGAGAATTGAAACTCATGGCCTCACTCGGGCCAATAAGTTCAACCTGTCTTTGACCCATTTTTGTAACCATTTCCCTGAAGAGGAACAATGCAAACTGGCTTGTATTTCATTTCCTCTTATTATTCTTGACTCACTCTCATGTGCCCATTGTGGAATGCAAGACTGAGAAGGCTGAGAAACAGGGAGGTGAAATAATACAAAGTTTGGATCATAAAAGTCTATATAAAAGCTTCCAGATCTCCGGTGAGAAGGGGTCCACCAGGCTTAATACTTCAGCTCAGAGATGATTCTGCGGTGGTGGAGGTGGCCTCATAGGGATTCTTCACCAACTTGGCACACCGAAAGATCATCACTATTAGGAATAGAAACAGAAGAACAACAAAGGCGATGGCAAAGCCTTTGTCCACGTCCACACTGCTAGCCAGGCTTGAATCTTCCATGGAGAGATGCACCTCGTTACTGTCATCCAGCAGCAGCTACCTCCTCACATGTATCAGATGCGTCATATTCCTAAACAAAAGACAATAAAGCAAGTTTACCAGCCTGTATGCATTTCCTTACGAACACTGTGTAGGTAACCAAAAATGACCAAGGATTGAAAAAAAAAAAAGCCAGATTTATTTTAGAAGCACTTGTAGGGTGCTAATAACTTGCAGTGTTTATTTCAGTTCATTCAAATGCATGCACCTATTTCAAGTGGATAAATTCACACCCAGTTCAGTCCAGGTTTAATGCATATTTTTTAAAAAGGTTTATTTTACTTTTGTTTATTTTTAAAGATTTATGTATTTATTTGAAAGTCAGAGTTACAGAGAGAGGGAGACACACACACACACACACACAGAGAGAGAGAGAGAGAGAGAGAGAGAGAGAGATCTTCCATACGTTAGTTCACTCCCCAAATGGCCACAACAACCCAGGCTGGGCCAGGCTGAAGCCAGGAGCCAGGGGCTTTATCCAGGTCTCCCACATGGGTGGCAGGGCACAAATATTTGGGCCATCCTCTGCTGCTTTTCCCAAGCCATTAGCAGGGGGCTGGATTGGAAATGGAGCAGCTGGGACATGAACTGTTGCCCATATGGCATACTGGCATTGCGGGTGGCAGCTTAATCCTCCATACTACAATGCCGGCCCCAGAAATGATTTATTTTATTTCAAAGAGTTACAGAGAAAGAGAGGGAGAGACAGAGAGAGCAAAAGATCTTCTATGTGCTGGTTTATTCCTAAAATGGCTATAAAGGAGCCAGGAGCCAGTAGCTTCATCCGGGTTTCCCACATGGTTGGCAGAGCCCCAAGTACTTGGGCCATCACCTGCTGCTTTCCCAGGGGCGTAAGCAGGGAGCTGGATCAGAAGTGGCAGCCAGGACTCAAACCAGCACCCATATAGAATGCCAGTATCTCAGGTGGTGGTTTAACCTGCTATATCACAATGCTGGCCACATAAACTTTCAACTTTTTTTTTTTTTTTTTAAAGATTTATTTATTTGAAAGACAGAGTTACAGTGAGAGGGAGAGACAGAGGAAAGTTTTCCATCTGCAGTTCACTCCCAAATGGCCACAACAGCTAGAGCTGCACTGATCTGAAGCCAGGAGCTTCTGCCAGGTCTCCCACATGGGTGCAGGGGCCCAAGAACTTGGGCCATCTTCTACTGCTTTTCCAGGCCATAGTAGAGAGAGGGATCAGAAATGGAGCATCTGGGTCTTGAACCGGCACCTGTATGGGATGCAGGCTCTGCAGGCCGGGGCTTTAACTCATTGAGCCACAGCGCTGGCCCTACCTTTCAATCTTTTAAAAAGATTTATTGGCGGGGTCGGCACTGTGGCGTAGCGGGTAAAGCTGCCGCCTGCAGTGCAGGCATCCCAAATGGATGCCAGTTCAAGTCATGGCTGCTCCACTACCAATCCAGCACCCACGTGGGAGACCCGGAAGAAGCTCCTGGCTCCTGGCTTCGGATCAGCTCAGCTCTGGCTGTTGCAGCCATTTGGGGAGTGAACCAACGGAAGGAAGACCTTTCTCTCTCTTCCTCTGCTTCTCTGTTAACTCTGCCTTTCAAATAAATAAAATAAATCTTAAATTAATAAAATAAATCTTTAAAACAATTATTTGAAAGTCAGTCAGAGAATAAGAAAGAGACAGACATCTGGATGGAGGTGTGGCCTCCCATCTGCTGGTTCACTCCCCAAAATGTCCCAGTGAAGCTGAGAGCCAATAATTCAATTCAAGTCTCCCCCATGGGTGGCAGAGATCCAACTACTTGAGCCATTACCTTGCCTCCCGGTGTGCGTATTAGCAAAAGCTAGAATTAAGAGTGGAGTTAGGACTCAAACCTGTGCACTGGGTATCAGATGCTGGCATTCTAACTGGCATCTTAACTGCTACCAAACCTCTAAATTTCTAGCTCGTCCTCCTCTCCCATGCTCCAGCTCCTCTAGTGTGTAGGACCAGGGAGGAATGCAGGAGAGATGTGAAGCATTTCTCTACTTAGTGGATTCAGTTGTGGCCAACTGTGAGTGAGTAGGTGACCTGAGTGAAAGGTGTATTTGGCCGGTGCCGCGGCTCAATAGGCTAACCCTCCGCCTGCGGTGCTGGCACACCAGGTTCTAGTCCCAGTTGGGGCACCGGATTCTGTCCCAGTTGCCCCTCTTCCAGGCCAGCTCTCTGCTGTGGCCCAGGAGTGCAGTGGAGAATGGCCCAAGTCCTTGGGCCCTGCACCTGTGTGGGAGACCAGGAGAAGCACCTGGTGCGCTGGTCGTAGCGGCCATTGGGGGGTGAACCAATGGCAGAGTAAGTCCTTTCTCTGTCTGTCTCTCTCTCTCACTATCCACTCTGCCTGTCAAAGAAAAAAAAAAGGTGTATTTTTTTTTTCTGAGTAATGTTTATCTTCACTCTGAACTTTTCTGTCATTGAAGACCCCATAAATTGGTGCTGCCTATTTCTTATTCTGCCACCCTAAACTCAGGTTGAATGTCTCATTGCTGGATACAGTGGTCTAGCACTGCCCACTGCTCCTGCTCCTGCTCCTGCTCCTCCTCCTCCTCCTCCTCCTCCTTCTTCTTTAAAGATTTATTCATTTATTTGAAAGGCAGAGTTACAGAGAAGCAGAGGTAGAAAGAAAGCAAGAGCAAGAGCTAGAGAGAGAGAGAGAGGGGTCTTCCATTTACTGGTTCACTCCCCAAATGGCTATGATGGCTGCAGTTGGATTGATCCAAAGCCAGGAGCCTGGAGCTTCTTCCAGGTCTCCCACATGAAAGCAAGGGCCCAAGAACTTGGACCATCATTAACTGCTTTCCCAGGTGCACTAGCATGGAAGCTGGATTGGAACTGGCGCAGGTGGGATCCTGAATGGGATGCTGGCACTGAAGGCAGTGGCTATACCTGCTATGCCACAGTGCCAGCCCCTCTGCTTATTCTAAGATACTTTGTGTTGTGTGGATTTTGTTACTATAATGAAATAATTAAGACAAGCTGCTTATGAAGGAAGAAGGTTTATTGCAACTCAGCTTTGAAGGTTCAGGCTCCAGCATCAGGCAGCCCATTACTTTGGTATCTGATGTCATTGTTGCTGATAGATCCTGGAGGTAGTACAGGCTGTCACAAGGCAGGTGGAGAGCATGCATCCAGTATGTATGTCTTTTTTTAGTTTTATTTTTAACACATTTATTGGGTTATAATTTATAAAGTTCACCTATTTAAAGTATAGAATTAAATATTTTTAGTATACTCAGAACTGTGCAATCATCATAATCTAATTTTAGAACATTTTCATCACCCCAAAAGAACCACAACAGTGTTATCATTATCTATAGTCACCCTTCTGTGCAATGGGACACCAGGATTTCTTACTCCTGTCCAACTATAGCTTATACCCATTAATCAGCTGTTCCCATCTCTTTCCCCCCTTGTCTTTCCTTGTAAGTCACCGTGATTTGATCATTGGGGCTCCCCTCTCACACACAAGCTAATCCAATCTAATCATTTCTCAAAGGCCCCACCTCTAAACGCCACGATTGGATGAAGTTTCTATCCTCCTAGTACCATTAACTATGACTTTGGGGTTTAAGATTCTGTGGAAGCCAAATCATGCTCAAGCTATAGCACATCTGAAGTCCTTCAAGATGATACGCTGGACTGGGATGGGTCAGGGGGAATGGCTACCTTTTCCTCCTAGCATGCTTCAGTAAGGAACCTACAAAGCCTGCTAGCGCAAATTGTTCTAAAGTCTTTCCAACTTCAGAAATCTCTAATGGGGCCAGTCCTGTGGCATAGCAGGTAAAGCCACCGCCTGCAGTGCCAGCATCCTATATGGGCACCAGTTCCAGTCCCGGCTGCTCCACTTCCAATCCAGCTTTCTGCTATGGCCTGGGAAAGCAGTGGAAGATGGCCCACGTCCTTGGGCCACTGCACTTACGTGGGAGACCCAGAAGCAACGCCTGGCTCCTGGCGTCTGATGGGTCCAACTCCAGACATTGGGGTCATTTGGGGAGTGAATCAGTGGATGGAAGACTTCTATCTCTCTCTCCTTCTCTGTCACTCCGCCTTTCAAATAAATAAAATCCTTTAAAAATGAATAACATTGTTGTGACCATGAACTTTTTTTTTAAAGATTTATTTTGTTTATTTGAAAGACAGAATTACAGAGAGGCAGAGATGAAGAGAGAGGTCTTCCATCCGCTGGTTTGCTCCCCACTTGGCTTCAATGGCCAGAGCTGCACCAATCTACAGCCAGGAGCCAGGAGCTTCTTCCGGGTCTCCCATGCAGGTGCAGGGGCCCAAGGACTTGGGCCATCTTCTACTGCTTTTCCAGGCCATAGCAGAGAGGTGGATGGGAAGAGGAACAGCTGGGACTAGAACTGGCGCCCTTTTCACGGGATGCCGGTGCTTCAGACCAGGGCTTTAACCCGCTTGCCATAGGGCCGGCCCCTGAACATGAACACATGTGTTCATTTTTCCTTGGTGTGCACCTAGGAGTGGATTACTAGGTCATATAGTAAGTAGCTCTATGTTTAATCATTTAACAAAGTTGGGCCATCTTCTGCTGCCTTCCCAGGTATATAAGCAGGAAGCTGGATGGGAACTCTTAACAGGTGCTCTGATACAGGATGCAGGTATCTCTAGTGGCAGTTTAACCTACTGCACCACAACAACCACCCTACGCACCTCAATTTTAAATGTTGTGAATATAGTAGGTATGTTAGGACTTAACATTTGGTATATATTGTAAATCTCTTCTTCTATTTTTCAGTTGTCTTTTGTTTTTGTGTTTTTTTTTTCCAAAACATAATGAAATTTATCATTTTCTTTTTTTTTCTTTGTGATGAGCAATTAATATACAGTGCTGGAATTGGAGGGTCTCAAAGACATCTGCCTATCCTTAATGGCTTCAACCACTCTGATGAATCCTTCTGATAGTTTTCTTTTTTTAAAATTTTTTTTATTTGGCCGGCGCCGCGGCTCACTAGGCTAATCCTCCGCCTAGCGGCGCCAGCACACCAGGTTCTAGTCCCGGTTG